AATTCCTCTTCGAAGCGGCAAGGAGGAAGAAATCTCTCACTTTTCCTCCACTCTTACAATCTCTCAAAGAATTCCTCACAATTTAGACTCTCTACACTTTTTCCACACTTCAATTTTGAGCCTCCCTCCCTTATTTTCGGCCAAAGTCTTCTCTTTAAAGATGTGGATGAGTTTTTCCAAGAGTTGTCTAAGCATCCCTTCAAAATTTGTCCTCATCCAAAGCCTAAATGGACATAACCGCCGAGCTCGCCGTCAGCGGGCTTGAGGGCGCCGTCGGCGGATCTTCTTAATAAATTAATTTTGGAGTCTCGGGAAAATCTCACCGTCGGCGGGGTCAATGGCGCCGTCGGCACCCTAGTTCAATTCTTCACATTTTGGTCCTTTTTGCTCCAAATTCGCTCTTTTTTGCATCTTTTTGCTCCAATGACCCTATTTCATCATTCCTGCAACAAAACATCAAAAATACCTTTCTTTAAAGTGCAATATCATCAAAAATAGTATAAAATTGGTATGAAAATCTCAACGTATTTTCCTTTGGTCACAAAGCACCATAAATAAGTCATGGACCAATGGAAACCCCATTTGGAGTCTCTATGCACTAGTCTTAGCGAAACCCTAGCCTAGGGCCAGTGGGTTTAGGGGACCATCTACATGAGTATCCCAAAAGATTAAGGGATTAGAGTCAAGAAATTTTGGGTTTGTATTTGTGAGTGGTTGTAAGTGAGGTGATTGCTGGTGAGTGCCTTAGCTCTAGACCAACACCTAGGGTACCCTAAGGTCCAATTCAGTCCTATAGGAACTCTCCTCAGCTCCCTCATCCTCATAATGACCCCACTTACTAAGTGCTAGAGGTCAAGACCAATATGTAACCACCTACTAAGTGCTAGAGGTCAAGACCAATATGTAGAACTTCTAGTTGAGTAAAGAGGAGTTTAGAATTTCTAATGGTGAGGGTTCCTTTTCTAGTTTTCTAGGAATAGTCAACAGGAAGTCCTATGGCTACACCTTAGGCTATTGAAGAGGAAAACTAAACCTCAACAAAAAATGAGGTCAACACCACTCTAAGGGATTCCTTCCTTTCCCAAAGAAGCCAAAAAGATGGTCAGACGATGCTACCATTTGCTACGCCTCCAGGTTGAGCTTGTTGAATATATATTTGAACAAGATGTTCACCAAACTTCTAGTATCAATGAATATACTTCCCACGTTGTAGTCGTCAATCAAAATCTTAATGATAATCGTGTCATTGTAAGGATTAACTTTCACTATTAGGTCTTCATCAGTGAATGTGATGGGTGGATGCATGGTCTTTCGCAGGAGAATGGTTGCACATAGTTCTTACGACTGGACCCTTTCAAAACTTGACTGTTAGAAAAACTCTCACTCCCTCTGAGTATCGCATGTATTATAAATACAATCTGGATTGTGTTGGTTTAGACAAACTCATCATTATGCCTCCCAAGCCAGGGTCTTCCCTTGTCTGTGAGTAATCATTTCAGTAGCCACAAACTCTTTCATTTTTTTAGCCTTGATCAAGTCTTCGACCAAGCTTCTGAGGTGAAGGAACTCTTACGTTTTGTGATCGTGCTCTTTGTGGTGTTTAGGAATTTGTTCAGGTTTTGAGCAGAGCTTCTAGCCCTCGTCACCTGAGGTTTCTTGAAGTAATCTTTATCTTAGGTGGCTTCTTCCAAATCAACCATCAAAATCCTCAAGAGAGTCACTTTGAGTTGTTTTGGCGGTGTCTTCGGTTAGTCGTTGTGGTGGGCAGGTTATTTATTAGGGTCTTAAGGCTGCATGTCTTGACGATCGCCCTTTTAATTACCTTTTTTATTGTGGTGTCGGTTGCTTTCATAGCGTTGGCGAGGGAAAGGATGGGGGTCATCCTTTGCCCGCCAGCTGTCATCCATCGATGCTGTCTTCTGCGATTGGACATCAGTGATGACCTTCCTGGCGTCCTCCCGATCATTAAGAACTAACTCCTCAACGACAATATGATGATTGGCCATCTCGAGTAATTCAATCATGGATTTTGGCTCATACATGCCGAGGGCATATTTGAAATGTTTGCTCTTTGCTCCCTATATTAGAGCAATTTGTGCAATTAGGGGTTCAAGATTTTGAATCTCCAACATTTTCCACTAAAATCTATTGATATAAGAGTCAAGGGTCTCTCCTTCATTCTACTTGATCAATATGAGAGCCCAAGAATTCTTCCGTGGATTTTGTGCATCGACAATATAAGCTATGAATAGCCTCTTGAACTCAAAGTAGGAGAGGATGACCCTCACCGGGAGAGCGTTGAACCATTAGATAACTGACTCCCTCAACATAGTGAGGAACAAGAAAAATTTGAATGCATTAGTGATTTTCAATATGTCGACTGCCGACTCAAAAGCGACTACATGGCCGGTTGGATCAGTGGGGCCTCTGTACCAATCAAGGTTGGAAGTTTTGAACTTCTCGAGGGGTTCAACCTCAGAAATTTTCCGAGAGAAATCGTTTTCTGTGTTGCAGGGTGTTGTGGTTCGTATGGTACGATGTCTCTTTACTGAGGAATCTTGCATTGGTCGCTGGTCCATCCCAGTGGCTGGGCTGTTGCGAGTAAACTCCTGGGGATTCTGGCTCTGTGGGTTTTGGCTTCCCCTGGCTAGAGCTTCTTGGAAAGCACCCATTATATGTTCTCTCATTTCTAGCATTAACTGTTCTTACATCTCTATTACTTGTTGTCACACAATCTCTCTTGTGCTATTCACGTCAACTGTCGGGTTTCATGTTTCTTGGATGATTGTCTTGTCGCTGTGTTGTGCTCCTCTTTTTGTTGGTGGCATGATTCCAAGCTCACCGCACCTTTTAGGGTATTGGACCCAAAAGTGTCCAAAAATCACACTCAAGAATTAGAGCACGAGAAATAAAGGAGTAGAAATGAAAAATGAAAAATGAGTGTCTATATAGCCTTTTTTTCATGAAAGGGTACCCTATTTATATGTATAGTAGGTACCCTAATTACATAATTACCCTTAAGACATTTTTCTATACAATGAAGTCTGAGGGCACGAAGGTCATTTACACAAATACATTTAGATATGCTACGAGTGGATTGTTGATCGACATCTGTAATCTTTGTTCATAGCTCCTATGCTTATTTGCTCGGCTTTAACGGGTCGAGCCATGTGGAGGTGGTTTGAAAGTTTCTTGGTCGAATTTGCTTACAACTTCCTCTGTGGCTTCTGGCTCGCATGCTTCATTTGCTTGATGATTGGTTATATTTCGCTTGACTCGTTCAGATGTCCCATTGGTTGGTAGGGAAATCAGGAGAATGACTTGGCAGGGCTCTAAGACATCTTCCTATCTCCGCATGCATTTCTCCCAGCCAAATTGCACTGTTTTGTTAACTATTCTTTGAAAATTTTGAGCGAGGGGGCCCACCCAATTTGTGGCGCGCTCATGTTCTACCTTGGGATTCATGCCGACAAGATCCTATCACACATCATAAATATAGATTTATTAGATGTGTCTATTAAATTATATTGGATATTCATGAATGATTTTGAAATAATTAGCAGACTTGTATGAAGACACTTGCCTACTTCGCATGGCTGGGGCTTACAAGTAGCTAGGTGGTTGCTTTAGGCTATATTTTGTGCTTTTGGGCCAAGTCACATTTGCTTGGTTTACTTTAGCGAGTTCACCAACTGAATTTATGAAATAGTCCGAGCAAATCTTGTTTACAGATAATGCCATATTTGATTCAATATTAATATGAAATGATGAATATAAAAAGTTAAAAAAAAATCATCTTTATGAGAAGTTATTTTAAATTTATTACAGAAGAAGGCCACGTCCTAAAAATGTCGAGCTGAAGCGACATCGGCTGCGCGGCTCACTCTTCTGCCGGCACCAATGGGGGCGACGGAGCTGGCCGTCCAGGCTTTAACTCTAGCTTTCGCTCTCATCATCTTCCTGTACCTCCGCTCCGTTCCCCGTCAAGCCCTCTCCCGCCTCCGCCGCCTACGTCCCTCTTCCGCGGAGCCCCCCCGCCACTTCGTTCGCGGCGCTCAGCTCCTAGCCCGCGCTCGTGTCCACTCATCTCCCTCCACCTCGCTCGCCCTCGCTCGCTCAGCCACCGCTGAAGCCGACCTTGCCATCGCTGCTGATCCCCGCGATGCCGCCCCTCTCATCCTCAAAGCTCTCGCCCTTGACCTCGACGGCCACCGCCTTCCTGCCCTCCGTGCTCTCGACGCTGCCCTCTCTCTCCATACCAGTAAGTCTCTTTCCGAGCAAGACCGTGCTGATGCACTACTCAAGCGTGCGGAGATTCAACTAGCCCTTGTGGGCGGTAGGGGTGGGCGGCATAAACGAAGGGTTGATCTGGCAATTTGTGATTTGGAGGATGTTTTGCGGCTTTGGCCTGATAATGGAAAGGCCAAGGTTTTTCTTGGGGAGTGTTATGAGAAGAAAGGTTTGAAGGAGGAAGCAAAGGGGGCTTTTTTGGAGGCGTTAAAGGTTGATGAATCTTTGGTTTCGGCACAGGAGGGCTTGAAGAGGGTGTTGAATGCATGAAAGGGGATGTCTTATTGCTGTTCCTCTCGTTAAAAGCGGTAAAATGTTATGTTTAATGTTTTGTACTTTATTAATTTATGATTTAGCTTATGTAACACCTTACATCTATGTTTCTAATTAATTAAACGTGCCAATTTCAAAGCGAACATGGGCCGAGCACGAAAAAGAATATTCAAATTGAGCACAACACAAAAACACTGTTCACAAGCAATTTCGAACACTAGCTAACTTCAAACATAAATAATTTTGAAGGGGTCGAGCATGAGCCAAGCCTGAGCTTGTTTATAACCCTATGCAATACCTCCCCTTCAAAGCCCTCCTCAATTCTTGCATATACATAATCACCTTGATCTTCCTAATCATTTTTATCCATTCTAGTAGCTCGTTGCATTTTATGTTTGGGACATGTTAAAGTACTTATCATGTCCATGATTGTTGTGGATGAAATTGTGGAGAGCTGCGCAAAGTTACACAAACAATGACTGTGCCAGCTTGAATAATCTAATAAAATTGGCACACATAACTTAGCACTTGCAATCTTTTTTTTTTCTAGATATCAATGGTCCTTTCCATTTAATTCATTATTTTGGCAAGGTGACAATTATCCTTGCCTTGAACAACCTAATATCAAAAGCACCACTTCCCTAATTTTTTGTAAGACAATATTGTTGTGCTCTATAGGGTGCAAGTTGATCATATATATTTGCAAACCTAAACAAAAAAGACTTCACCATATTCTACTCAAATTTCTACTTTAAAAGCCTATTCAAGCACTCTCATGCTAGAAATCAACCACTTTGCATAAATTGATATCAAGGAAGATCATACCAAATAATGCAAAAGGTAATTTAATGGTCTTCCTTTATTTTAAACACCCTTCCAACCCCATTAGGTTCATGTGTATAATCTATTACTTTGATAACACCTTAATAGAATGCTTAATTATTTTACAGTAGTCACAATTCAACAAATAATTTTTCGAGCACTAATATTTTTAAATAAATATATACAAGTATGGATGACATTGAGTACTGCTTTGCATATATGGGTGGGACTTTACATCATTTATTGGTGGGGGGAGGTTAATGATTTTTATAAATTGCTAACAAAAACACAAAGAATGTAATAGTAATGTAGTTGTGGAATTTTTTTTTTTATTTTGAAAAATATTTCGTGGGAACCTCATTGAAAAAATAAAGGGTGTCATTTTGTGTCATAAGAAAATCCGGTCTAACTTAAACACATGAGTGATATACGAAACATATATCAAAGTGTATTCTTTAAAGAATTTTCTTAAATGAAATGAATGATTTAAATAGTGTTTATTTATTTTATTTTAGGGGCCAAGAGTTTTTAGAGGAGCAAACCGCTAACTTAACTGCATTCTAGGAATTAATAATAAAAAAACTCTTGACTAAGTTTTCTTACTTTCATTATAATTTAAATTTAACATACTTCAAAGAAGAAAAATTAAAATGCTATAATATAAGGAATGAATAGGTTTAAGATTGGTATGCGTATAGGTAAGGAGCTAAAAAAAGATTCAACCAGATTAATACTTTATGGATATGTAATACCAATTTTGTAGACTTTCAATCAACTTAGTCAATAAGGGAGACATGAATCTCTTGCATCAGTAGCCATGAGTTATGTCGGTAGAGACTTTTTAAACCTTAAGTGAAAGAAGAAACATGGATCTCTAGACCTTATGTAGTTGAAGGTAAGAATGTAGGGTATACATTTTTACACTATGGGAAGATGCTTACTAAGAGAGATAAATGTGTCTTTTGACTATCGAAATATAAATAACTAATTGGTCTTATAATTCTGTTTGGATTAAGATTTTTACTAACATTAGGCCTCCAACTAAGCGTGTTTAAAGCCATGATGTTAGCTCAAGCGTCAACTTGAGTAAGAATAGCCATTAGGCATATTTCCATTACAATCCTATTTGTCTTTAAATAAAAGACTTTTCTCTATATATTGGGTTTAAGGCCATGTTATGTTTATAAATTAGTTTCATTCTCATTGATTTAAATACTCACTCTTTTTTTTAAAATTTAAATACTCACTTTTGTGGAAGATTTAATAGTCAATTTGCTGACTATATTTTCACATAATAAATGGAGATTATTGTTTATTTATTTTGAAATTAGTGGTCTAGAGAGACCATGCTTTCATTTATTTCTAAAATTATTACTCTATAATTGGTTTTATATTGTTAAATTTTTATTAATTTTATAAAAAAATTAAATTTCTTTAGTATTTTAGTTAGATGCAATGATTCCAAACAAAGAAAAGACAAACAATATTGGCCAAATTATGGGAAAAAATATTTAAATAAACATGACAAATTAAATATTAAAAAATATATTAGATGCAACTTAGTTTTTTGTATTACAACTTAGATAAAAAATATAATTCTCCTAGTATTTGTACAATACTACTAAGAACTAGATCCATACACGAATATTTAAGTATAAAATTGATATGTACAAGGTATAGGTATTTGTAAACTGCTTCTATTCCTTGCCACTATGATGGTTGTGTTTGCTAATGAGGATTTTACCTAAATCTTGTACTTGTTTTATGGATTTTTTATTAGAGAAAACATGAAACAAGCAAACTTATATGCGGGTCAGGTTCTATAAACATTTCATATAATTTTTTTTACATAACACAACTTTTGTGCTAAATAGTATATAGTGATTTTCTCGGCACTGTATATTAGCATTGGTAGAAAATTATATCTATAACATAACCCTATAAGTTGTAAATAGCCAAAAAAAATATTACTATACATCAAGTAGTGGTGCAACCTAGTTACATCCTAACCATAGATTAGAAGATTTAAGGCCGTGCCCATCATGATACTTAGTGTGTATTTTGATTTTTTTATCTTGAAATTCTATATGACTTGTTTATTATATAACTATTTAATTATTATTTTTCATTGTGAGCTTCCAATGCACCTCATGTGGATGTCCCTTGATGGAAAAATTTGATCTTCTAGCACAAGCAAGATACTAGAAGGGTGACCCAACGGTCATTTCACGTAGAAGCTAACAAAATGAAGTTATGTAATGTTGATTTTAAATTTTTTAGGAATACACATATGTTCTACTATTATAAGAATAGGCAAAATTTGAGGAAGATGATGGTTCCTCAAATCTAGTTTCTTTCTCTAGCTCTCTTGTTTTCATGACATATATATCTCTACTCCCTAATTTAGGTGCCTTCTAGATACCCTTTCGGTATTGTTACCCTTAGGTATCTTCCTTATGGCAGTTGGCTCATGATTTTTAGGTATTCTCTTGATGCCTCTCTTAAGCTCATTTTGGCCTTGACTTATCTTGAAAATATTATTTTTTTGTTTGGGTTTCTCTCAAGGGCTTCTATGATTCTCTTGAAAGTTTCTTTCATAACTTCCAAATCTTTTTAGCTTGCCCCATATCATTTAGTCTATTCGTCTCTTCATTGTTCAACCATGTATTTGGAAAGCTAGGTATGCAAATCCTAGAAATTTTCATCAATCAATATGATGAATTAACTAGGTTTTGTTTAGGTTTGAGATTGATGTTTCTTATAAAAGCAAGTCTCTATAGTTAATTATATCGTATGATGTGGTATCCAACGATAGCCTCTATTAATTAATTATATTCATTTTGATTGTTAAATATATGCCATGTAGAAAGTACTTGGTACTAAGGAAAAAGAGTTGTATTTATGTACTAAACCTATAAATGTGAAAAATTTATGAGTCTAATGTTTTCTCAAGGGAAAGATATTAACTTAGAAATCACTTGTTAAGAAAAAAACACTAACTCAAAAAGGCTAATGGGAACCAAGAAATAATCTTAGTATGGAAGAGATTATCAAGAGGGTAATAATGAGCTCTTGATCACAAAAGTATGGATTTGTTGTCAAGTAATCTCGAATGAATGGAATAAAGCTATGTATTCAAGAAGAAGCTTGTAAGCCTAGGATGAAATTACTTATCTTGAGGAGATTTGGTAGGATAAATAGGTCTTGCAATTCACGATCAAAGCTCCCAAGATTTTATGGGTTGGAAAGACCTAAATTTTGGAACTTGTGACTTATACGTTTTAAAGCTCAGAAGGATATTAGTTTATGGAACAAACTAAAAATAGAACTTAGAACCTTGTAAAGGGGGTTGCGATGAGATAGGGACTTACAATAGTACTTAGCATTGTCGAAAGATGGTCCTCACAATTTTATGAAGCGATGATCATACTTGAGACTTATTTTATATCAATAAAAAAATGTTGCCTAATAGCAAGACTTATAACAGTACCAAGCATAAAGCCTTGACTAACTAACTTTTATTTAATGGAGGGCTATATAGTACTTAGTCACTTTTATTGCTAGAAATAGGCCTATATTCAGACTTATAACCTAGACTTGTAAAACTAAGAAGCCTAAACACTAAGCTTGCATCTTTGAATGAGGAATGTTGCTAGACCCATTTTGATATAAATTTAGAAAGAGTTGTCATTTCAATTTGCATTTGTAGATTTTGTATTTATAAAATGAGTCTTAAAAATCTTTTCTTATTTGGAAGAGGAACTAACATGTGAATGTGGGTTTAGATGTTATAGTGAACTAATGTCTGTATGTAGACTTTATGAATGATATAACGGGCTAAATTACTTTCTTTTTCTTGTTAGAAGCACAAATGAATCAATATTATTGGAATCATTTGCCATGCATTAGTTTTATTGTAAAATCATATTCTTTGATTTACTTTGAGTTGTTTAGCTTGTTATTGGTAAAAAGATATAATCTAATAGCTTAATGAGAATTTAGGCCATTCAAAATACGTAAATAAACTGAAAAACAATGGTGATTGAGATCAAATAAAATAAATTAATTCTATCAAAGTACAACATTAAAAAGAGAAATAATGTTTATTTATAATTAGGTTATGTGGTATACCTCATAAAATAAATATTTAAATATAGTTGGGTTCTCCTTATTATATCTCAAACCTAATTCTATACATAAATAGAAAAGACAT